TATTGGAGCATCACATACTAGACCCAAAGTCCATCCCACCGCAGCCAGCAAGATCTTCAGGAGAGCCACCTGTGCCCAGGACCTTGCCATCTACATAAAGACGGTGGCTCCTTCCAACTGGTGTTTGGAAAGCTGGTAAGCAGTCAGAATTAAAAATGAAGAAAATCAAAAGACATATGGGGAAACTTCACTTAATAACTTAATAAATGGACCAAGGAAACATTAGCATCCACAACCCTGAGACCAACTATTCTGAAAAGGAGCATACTCGAAGGTCCTAGATAGAGTAGGACATCTTATTGGTCTGCCAGAGACAGAACTCTAAAACCTACGGCCCTTAGTCTGGGCCTGACTTCGCTCCAGTATTAGAATAATTCACCTTTTGGGATCTAAGGGCAGCATTTATGCAAGAACGAAATTCAGAGATTTAGAGAAGAAGGAAGAATCACAACAGGGCCTATCAGGAAATCTAGGGAATAAGGTGCTAAGTGATAGCACACAGAGGGGATTGCAGTGCATGAGTTGAAATAACATGCATGCGACCTGTTGAATGTGAAACTAGCCATCTGCTCTGTAAATCACTTGATTCACAATAAAAAGATTTTTAAAAAAGACTACTTTTCAATCCATCCTGAGGTAAAGAGATTAGAATAGCACCAAAGAACCCCAGGGAGCCTTTTATTATTATTATTTACATACTTTAGATAATGACCCTTAAGCCCAGGTTTCCAGTTAAAAATAGTAGATCAAAAGGGTCTGGCTGAGTTGCTGGCCTCCACCCACCCCAAAGACAGTGCAGGGTCCACTACTCTCCATTTTCCTTTCTTCAATCACCAACCTGCTACCCTCATCCTGTCACAGATTCCAATTCATCGTGACCTCAGGGAGCTCAGAGGAGAACTGTGCCCCACCGGGTTTCAATGGCTGATTTTGCAGAACTAGGTGTCCCCTCCAGCATGCCATATCACAATGTACCAAAAGAACAAAAAGGAAAAACACAGCTTCCTACTTACTCGGTTTCTGTCACAATGTAGCCGTATTCCTCATCATCAGAAGATTTGACTTCTAATTGCAGGCCTGTGCTTGGGTGCTGTTCAGATCCAGCTTGAAGGCTTTCATCTTGCTTCAAAGCCCCTGGAATCCAGTTTGGATAATCCCCAAGGCCATCCACACGGGGCTCAGAATTAGGCTTCTTATCAAATAGCTCTTTGAAGTAAGTCTCACTCTTGACATTTTCAACCCCAACACTCTCTTCTTCTGAAGACTCAGGGTCCTTGGATTTCTTGACATTCGTTTTAAAAGGTGTGGCAAGAGAGAG